TCAGGTTCCACAGGTTAAGGGCTCAGTCTAAGACCACCCTCCACTTCAGAAGCTGGTTAGAAGCCCCTGCTTCTGACCAATTCGCAATAGTTCAGGTCTCCCCTTCACCCTGCTTGCCAGTTGCAAGTCCAGGTTATTTGTGCTTTTGAATGATTGGCTATAAATCAGAGGATTCCAGTGAAACAGTCTAAGTAAAAGAAACCGCAAGTTGGGAGGAGCTGGTAAGTGGTAAACTGCCTAGCATCCTGATTAAACAACTAAATTAGATGTCGGGCTGAATTGCCCCAGCATCCTGATTAAATAGGTGGGCTAAATCATGGACTAGGGGATCTGCCTTTTATTGTATTCAAACAGTTTGGCCCACAAGACTGACCAAAGGTACCATGCTAGACAAAAAGTGTTAGATCTTGATTAATGATTATCTCACAATTTCCTGGAGGGAGGAGGCTGAGAGACTTCGTGTGCACTTGGAATATAACCAGGCTGCACCCAGAACATGCTATGAAGCTACTCTCCTTTACCCCTCCATGTGGACCTACCCTTTAAATAAAACCTGCTAACTTCATTGGGGAGCGAGGCAAACTTTCTCCTTTTCTGGCACTGGTCCTCTCACACATGAGTCTCTAATAAAGCCTTGCTGATTTCAACCGAAACTTTAGTAAAATCTTTCTCCAGAGAGTCCTGGACCTACAAATTTTGGAAGAGTCTGTAATACCAGGGTACCCTCAAGTAAGATTAATTTTGCTACAGAATTCAGGAAGCCCTATACTCACTACATCACCAATGTATTATAAAGTGTACTAAAGGATATGAATCAATAGCCCCAAGAAATACATATAGGGCCTCCCTGGTGGCACAAGCAGTTGAGCACAATGCTGTGAGGCTGTCTGCAGCCTCTGCAGTGCCAGTTTGATCCCTGCCGGCCACGGAGATGCCCACATGGCGAGGCAGGCCTCTCCTGTCTTTCCCGCTGCTCCCCTCAGCAGTGCCTTTCATCAGTCAAGCCTGTTTCATTCCTCGCTGTCTCGGGTGAATCCTCGCACCCTCCCGCACATGTGGCCTGTACCCCGGTTCAGGGTACGAATAAGTCTTTAAAAAAATAAGTCTTTAAACAAATAAGCCTTTAAAAAAAAAAAGAAAGAAATACACATAGTGAGACATGGGACAATGACCTCTGTCCTCTCAGAACATGGGGTCCGACAAGGCAGCATATGGAAGCATTCTGGTTCTGTTATAGAGCAACCCCGATATTAAACGGGTTCCTGGCTGTGGGTCCTCACCCGCGCGCTTTAAAGGGACTTATGAATACTCTACTACAGACACACACAAAAAGGTTAATAAAAGGTTTATTTACAAGAGAAAAGGAAATAAGGAAAATGTACAACTCAGGGAGAAAATAGGGAAATAAAGTCTTTAATGCGTCCTACCCGATCCGACGACCTGGAAACCCAAAGTCACTCTCAGAGCTGGCCGGACCCTGCGAGCTGGCAGAGAGCCAAAAATGGGGGATTCCCCAAAGCCCACGTGTCTGCCTTTTGTATCCACCTGGCTGCTTAACCCCACCCTCAGGTCCCAGCCACCTTCCCTCTGATGGTGATGGGATTTGGAGTTCCCAGTGTCTTTGGCTTTGACCTGGGGTGGGGGTGGAGTCCACAAAGCCTATATGGAATTAGCTTTGGGACATCCTTTTCCCCCTAACAATTCCCCAACCTGAAGCTTTCTCAAGTTCCCCCTTGTGAATTTTTTTTTTTTTTTAGAGGCATGTTTTATTTATTTATTTGTTTGTTTGTTTGTTTTTGTTTGTACATGCACTGGGTACAGTCAGAAGCGCGGGAGGGTGAGAGAATTCACCGAGCCAGAGTGGGGAGCAGAGCAGGCAGAAGGACCGAAGCACACTGCTGAGGGGAGCAGCGGGCGGCAGGAGAGGTCTGCGCGCCATGTGGGACCCTCCTCCAGTGGCCGGGGAGCAGCCAGGGATCGAACCGTCGCTGCAGAGGCTGCGGGCAACTTTGCAACCCAGTGCTCAAACGCTGTGCCACCGGGGAGGCCCCTTGTGAATTTTTATGGTGACTTCATTATGTAGGCTTGATCGATTCATTGGCCAATGGTGATTAAATTCAACTTCCAGCCCTGCTCTTCTCCCAGGAGGCCAAGGAATGGGACTGTAAGTTCCAACCCTTTATTCATGCTGGTTCCCCCAGGCAACTAGTCCCCATCCTCAGGTGCTCCCAGAAAGTGAGCTTCATAAACATAGCAAAAGACACTCTTGACACAAAAGAAATCCCAAGGGTTTTGGGGGCAGCTGTGAGCCAGTAACTGTGAAGATCAAGTATATATGAGAAATACATTTTTGTCATGATTGCCCAAAAAATAGGTATTTCCTATAAATCACAATATCACATCCCCTCCCTCCCTGCCCCACTTCAAAAACAAACAACACTCCCCCTCATTATCTCAATGAATGGCCGCATGATGCTATTCAATTCTCCAATCCAAACTACAAAGGAGCCCCCAATTCTAGCTCAACCAATTTCTAAATCCTATTAGTTGTACCTTCATTGTCTCTCAAATTCATTAGTTTAGGCTCTTATCAGAAGACTCTTCTCTGGTCTTCCAGCCTCCACCTGTGACCATTTTATCATACAACAGAGTTCTTTCTGGAACTCACCTTTCCTGTGCATATCCTGTAGTTGCTTTACACCTACTGACTCTGCCTGAAGTTCTCCAGACAAAGCCTAAACTGTTTGCCATAACACAGGTCATCAGACTTCCTAGACCAGCAAGACCACCCTGTCCATATCGAGCCCACTCTGTGGTTTTATAGTTTGTAATATAAGAGTAATTTTCACATTTTTATTTCATTTTCATTTTTTAAATAAAATTTTATTGATCTACCAATGGTTAACAATAGTTAACAATACTATATAAATTCTGGGAGCACAGCTTTGCACTTCTTACATTTTAAAATGATACAAATTTAAAAAATGAGTATTTCATAACACAAGACATTCAAATAAATAAAATTTTATTAGAACGCAGTACTACCCATTCACACTATATATGGCTGCTTTTGAGCAGTGGCAGCAGTGACTTCTTGAGTTTCTCAGTCAAAATTAAAAAAAGGGACTCTAATGGACCTCCCTGGTGGCGCAAGGGGTTAAGACACAACCTATAAAGCTCACCGCAGTCAAAGTAGCATGGGTTCAGTCCCCAGCCAGGGAGCTACCCTCATGGCACAGCAGACCTCTCCTGACTCCCCTGCTGCTCCCCCCAGCACTGTATTTCAGTCAATCTGCCTGTTCTGTTCCCCACTCTATCTCTGGTGAGTCCCCTCACCCCCCACAGCTCTGCCCTGTACCCCAGTTCTTGTATATATAAACTTAAAGAAAGAAACAAGTCCAGGAGGCCCCCTCTTCTCAGCTACAGGCTGCAATGTGGTTACTGTGCCCTACAGAAGTGCTCCCATGGAACTACTCCATCTTAGCAATATCCGTGAAAGAAAGAGAAGTTCGGATCTTTCCATTAAAAGGAAAACGTCTACTTGAGGAACAGCTAAAGAGGGTAGCCTGGGGGCACAGATTCAAGCAAGTGTCAGGAGCTGAGCTACTTGAAGCCCCAAGGGGTTATAGAACTAAAATCCCACAAGGGCGCTTTCCAGTGACAAAAGTTGTTCAGAGTTTGATTGGGTGGCATTTAAGCTCAGATTCAAGTTTCCAAATTTTTTTTTTTTAACGATTTATTTTATTTATTTATACAAGCACTGGGTACAGTCAGAAGCACGGGAGGGTGAGAGAATTCACCAGAGCCAGAGTGGGGAGCAGAACAGGCAGAAGGACCAAAACACACTGCTGAGGGGAGCAGTGGGCGCGGCAGGAGAGGTCTGTGCGCCATGTGGGACCCTCGCCGGAGGCCGGGGATGGAACAGGTGCTGCAGAGGTTGGGGGGCAGCTTCGCAACCCAGAGCTCAACGGCTGCGACACCGAGAGGCCCCGGTATCCAACTCTTTTTAAGACGATAGGTGGCACAGAAAGGGGAACTTGGTCAGAACCTCAGGGGTGCCGCCTCCTACTTGAGCAATTTCTGTCCCGTGACAAGTCCATTTACCTTCCTCTGGCCTAAGACACTCCATCTTTGGATTTTACCTCCTTCGCTGAAAAATAAGGCTGCTTCCGACTTCGCAGATCATAGTGAATATGGTTAATAATGGAAATCGGAAAGGGGGTGTTGAGGTGAACAGAGTCCATCTTGGGCCCGAAATTCCATTTTACTGAACTTTCAGGATTTGGAAACTATTTGCAAGTTGGGTTTGGGGGGAGATGAACAGGTTTCCTCTAGGCACAATTTCTTCCAAAACTGCGCAAAAACACTGAGGTGTCCCTTTCCCTAGTAACCAAGGCCAACTGGAGGAAAACTCAATGAACTGTAAGAAACGTGGTCTGCAGGCAACCCGAGCCTTCCCCAGCGCCGCCCCCCAACCCCCCCAGCACAAACCCCACAGTGGGGCTCAGTTTGGGTTGCCGCCCGAAATTGTGCACCCCAATTTGCAAATCGCCGCCCCCAACTCGGAGCGGCCATGTCGCTTTAGCTTCCTGCAGTTTTCTGGGCGGTGACTGCAGCAGGCGCTAGGGAAACCGCAGTGACTCCGCGTCCTCTCGGCGCCCCAAGCACGGTGATGCAGTTGGGGTCTGTGTCCGTGGGGACCCCCGGCGTGCGCCGCCGGGGCGGGGGGAGCGGCGACCTCGCGGCGGCTCCGCGGGCGCCAAAGACCACCGGCCGCGGCTCCCGGGAGGGCCCGCCCAGCCGCGGCCGGGAGGACTACAACTCCCGTCGCGCCTCACCCGCGCTTAGGGCTCCTCTACATTTTGTCGCCCCCAGTCCCGGCCGCGCAGCCCTGACTGGCTCCGCCTCCCAGAGGCTCGCCTCTTCGCCGGGTCGCCCTCAGCGCGGCCGAGCCGGGCGCCGGAAGTGTCCGTGTGGCGTCACGGCGCGTCCGTCGCGCGGGGCCGGGAGTTGGAGGACGGTCTCTGGGGGTGCTGACAGGCCCGGCGCCGCGGAAGAGCCTCCCGCGGGCGGCCGCGATGTCGGACTCGGCGGTCAGCCGACTGCTGGACATGTGAGTCCGCCCGCCCGCCCCGGCCCCGCCTTCCGACCTCCGGCGAGGCCCCTCACCCTCTCGCGGGAGCCGTGCGGCTGGGGCGCGGGCCCGAGAGGGCGGCCGCCCGGGGGGCTCCTCGGGCCCAGCCGGCCTCCGAACCGCGCCCGACGAGGGTGCTGGCCGCTGGGGCCGGAGCCGCGGCCTCTGCCCCTTCGCCTCGCCGGCCCCGGACGCGGTGGGGGGCGCGGTGGCGTCGGCGCCTGAGCCGCGAGGATGCGCGACCGCCGGCGGGGCCCGTGGGCTGCTGCGGCCTGGGTGCGCCCACCGCGGCCCAGAGGTTCTCCTAACGCCGTGGCGGGACCGGAACCTCAGTCCCTGCAGCCCGGTTCTGTCGTGATGGTTTTTAAGCTCAGGTGTCCTGCCGGTGCATTCACTTTAAGAATGTCCTGAGAAGCCGGTTCTGATGAGCAGTAACTGGACATAACTGGTAACTGGCAGGAAAGGCTACTCTGTTATTGCTGATACACCCTGTAGGTGGTAATCGGAATCATTCGTGATTATATTGTGCTTGTTATTAGTTATAAGGGACCTATTTGAAATCATCATACTACTTTTTTTAAAAGATGGCAAATGATGCACATAAAGAAAAAAGCAAACAAAGCAACCAAGGGTTAGCACAGGAAGAACAATCTATGTAGCAACAAATATGAGAATTCATACGGTTGTAAATTCCGAAAAATAACAGAGGGGACCGGGAATATCTGTCCATCCTGTGTTTGGGGACCTGGATGCTCAAGGACAGTGAGGGGTGAGGTCATCCTCACTCTGAGAGCAAAGAAGATACAACATGTTCGCTGGTACATCTACGCCTGGACGAGATCCCCAAACTACATCCTTCTACGTCATAACAGAGGGAGCAGGTATTGCTTCTCAGGAAAAGGGCAGAAGCTTAGGATGGGAGGATTTCTTCAATCAGGGAAGGTGGAGGATCCAGGTTCAGGTGGAAAACCTAAATTTACTTTCCTACTTTATCTTAGCTGTAACCTACTTACAGTCCAGTTAAAATTTACTATCATTGTGAGGATATCTTTAAAATGCTGATGTCATCATTTTATTAATGTGGGGTAATATGACTACAGTGATTGGCACGAAATTTACTAGCCCTAATAGATTAATACAGCTTAGTCAAACTTGTTTATGACTCAGTTTTGATCACTGCTTTTTCCGGTTGGGGGTGTGGGTAAGCAAAGCGCTGCAAGCTACTTTGAGTGCTGGATGCCATCATTTCTTTTATAAATTAGAGGGCATTCCCACTGGTACAGTTTAGTTAAAAGTTACTAGAAAGGCTGAGACCAAATCCATGTGCTTTAAGTTTTTAGTAAACTAATGTGGGCATTTTCAGTGCCTTTATTAGGCTATGTTAACTGGTAGGATCTAGGGATACTCTTACTATGGGACAATAAGCTGAGTGTTAGTGTCAGTGCAACTCATAAGGGGGAGGCATTTTTGTCTGCTTTAGGGAAATTTGGAGACTGTGACTACAGTTTCTTTTGGGTGGACTTAAAATGTCTTGTTTATAGTCAAAAAATCAAATGTAGGGACATACCAGCCTATTTAAATTATACTAATTAAGGTAGCATTGTAGTGTTTGTGGGCTGTGAAATTGTTAGGTAGAAACAAATACAGAGATTTTTATGTTTAAACGCTAAGTTAAAAAGCTAAGTTATTTCATTTAATTGTTGGCAAAGTTAGGGTTGATGTGTATTACTGAATTTTAATCTTGGTTTGGGGGTTTGTCACAATGGACACCACGGAATCTTCCCCTACAGTCCTTGGTAATTTTGGCCACCCCTACACCAGCACCCCACCTCCTCACCGGTCGCAATGGACTGTGGCAGGAGCCACATGAAGGTTAGCTGACCTTGCATACTTAGGCAAGGCTCTGCATTCACTTTTAAGAGGCTGCTCGCCTGTGATCAAACTTGCAGTGTTTTTGGTTCACTCAAAGCTGTCAAGTGGCAAGATCCTCTCTACCAATTCCATTTATTTCAGCGTCAAGATGCAGTGGCCTCAGAAGCAACAGTAATGGTGCCTGGCTAGGGGAGCCTGCAGTTTGTTACCTGGTTGTCACAACACCCCTTTCTTCTCCCACACAGTGGGAGATGTGGATTGCTGTGCGTTGCAGTGGGAGATGTGGATTGTTCAGTGACCAAAACACCATTCAGGGGATGTGTTTCAGTCCTACCTCTATTCACTAAGCCCTACCACCAGTGAGGACAGCGGAGGACCCTTACTTCCACTTCACCTGCCACCTGGCTGGTAGCACTCTCAACACATCTCAGGGCGCATTCTTGTATCTTCAGAGCTGGCTCACGGGTTCTTTGTGTTTCCTCTTCCATGAAGCTATGCTTCTGCTAGCATCCCATTTTCATTTCCAAACTGTCAGACCTAGCATTTGATTTTACTTACACATTCAGAGTCCAGACTGCTGTTCAGATATTGGTGAAGATGCAAGATTTACAGCTGGAGGTGGAGGACCTGGTTCCCCACAGCAGCAGCATGAACCTTCACATATGCCTGTTACCTTCTCCCCCAGCCCTGTGGGGGAGACTCAGGACTCCCATGGGTGCCCAAGTGCTGTGGGAGCCAGACAGGAGACAACACTGAGCGTGGGGAACCTCCATTTCAGAGCAAGCAATAAGCAAACGTGGTCATTGTCTTGGAGGGAACCAGTACTTCAACTCTGGGAGTTTCTTGCTGCAAACATGATCCACCTGAGAAGTGGCCCAAATAAAGAGCAGCCAGCACCTCGCAGGCATGAAAGACCTAACATGACCACCTCCTGAAATTGGGACACCACCTCTCCTTGATTTTTAACACAACTTGCCAGTTTTATGGCACACACAGATACACTCCATCCTTTACAAGAATTGTTTTGGAAGAGACTAATTGTATATTTGGAAGAAAAGGAGTCAGTATTTCTTTTTTTTTCTCCCCAAGATAGATTTATTTATTTATTTATCTATTTATTTATACAAGCACTGGGTACAGTCAGAAGTGCAGGAGGGTGTGAGAATTCGCCAGAGCCAGGGCGGGGACAGAACAGGAGACTGACGAAGTACACTGCTGAGGGGAGCAGCAGGCGCAGCAGGCGCAGCAGGAGAGGTCTGACCCCCCATGTGGGACCCTTGCCAGCAGCCAGGGATCGAACCGGCGCTGCAGAGGCTGCGGGCAGCTTCACAGCCCAACGCTCAACCGCTGCGCCACCAGGGGAGGCCCAGGAATCAATATTTCTTATCAGTGAGATGCAGATGTTTGTTAAGTGGGTCAAGAGACTGATCAGATTCATGAGGCACAAGATGGCAGTGCAAGCTGCTCTGAGGTAAAGTGAGCCTGAATATTGAAATTACAAAACAAGAACAGCCACTGGAAGGCCTAAGGACATACAGCAAATGGAGACAGATTCACTCAAGGCAATGTACTAGAACTGAGTAAGTCATGAGCTGGTGTTCGAACTACATCTGCTTCCTCCACAGTCCTCCATTGCAAGGGGGCTGCCTCTTCCCTGGTTCTCTTTGAGCAGCAGTATCTTCCCAGCAGGGGCAGGGTGCCAGCATTTGTCACACCCTCTTCCTCCTCAGATACTTTTATCCACCTGAGTCCACCCGAGTGTGACAAACCTGAGTGTGGTTTGTCACGCACAGCTGCTTCACCCAGCCTACTCACAGGACAGAGGCTATCTCTTACCATGGCGAGCTGACAGTACCGGGCCCCTTCATCTCATCCACCTCATCCATGGGTGGAGATTCCCTTGGAGAAGAGGCAGGTCAGGGAGACCAGAGCCCACCACCCAGCACCCTGCTCCTGAAGCAGGGGGGCACTTAGAGTAAAGCACTCATGTTCCCCTTCCCAGCTCTGAGATTGTGACGTGGAGATTTTTCATAGGGGGAGAGACAGGCTGTCAAACAGAGTTTTAAATTTTCTCCTAAGAAACTGACTATTTAGAATGGGACCTAGGGCTTGTTCAAGCCTGAGGACTCTAAAAACCAATGGAGATTTTGGCATTATTTACAGGGAAGCTGGTAACTTCATGGGAAACACAAATAAACCATAGGACAGTAGGTTTACCAGAGAGGCCCAGAGAAAAGGACATCTAAGAAGAGTCTGTGGTCAGAACAAACTCAAAACCAACTGCAGAAATTAATGCTGCAGAGGAAAAGTGAATTGGACGGCGTTGAGGAACAGGGTTGAACCATTAGAGCAGCCCATTTGCAATGAGTAAAAGCTAACAGCTGGGTGCCTCCCTGGTGGTGCAAGGGGTTAAGACGCAACCTATGAAGCTGTGTGCAACCTCTGCAGCAGGAGTTCAATCCCGGGCTGGCCAGGGAGCAACCCACAACAGACCTCTTCTGACTTGCCCTCTGCTCCCCTCAGCAGTGTACTTCCATTGATCTGCCTGTTCTTTTCTCCACTCTGTCTCTGGTGGGTCCTCTCACCCCCCACACCTCTGGCCTATACCCCAGCTCTTGTATGCATAAATAAATAAATCTTTAAAAAAAAAAAAAAACTAACATCTGGATGTGACAGCAGTAGAGGCTTCCAGCATAATCATGGAGATACAATCCCTGTCTCCTCAGGGTAACAACTGCTTCTCTCCAAGGCTGTGCCCTAAGGGACTAAAGGATATCAGAGGTTGCCCACAGTGAGGGAAACGGGCCTTCCTAAAACAGCAGCCTGTCACTAAACAAATGGAAGACATCTCCAGTTGGGGTGGGGAGGGCATCAGTATATCCAGAGTAACTGCATTTATTGTCCAAACTGTCCAGTTTTCAACAGAAAATTCTAAGACAAGCAAAGAAACTGTGCGACCAGACATGGAGGAAAACAGGCAAAAGAAGCTGCTTTTGAGCGGCCTGGAGTTTGGGCTGGCCGTGACTTCAAAGAAGCTACTATAATGTTTTCAGAGCACTAGAGAAAGACATAATAAAGGAGAAACCCATTTGGCAGTTCTTGGAAAGTAAGCATAGACTGACCATACTACCCAGCCGTTCGCTGAAGGTATACTGTACGCCCAACAAAATTGAAACTGTCCACTCACTCAAATTTATGTATACAAGTCTTCACAGCAGTACCTGTTATATTACCCAAAAGGCAGAAACAGCTAAACTGCCCATCAGCTGAGGAATGGATCAGCAAAATATAGAGTATACAGATAATGAAATGTTCTGTGATATGAATGAATGGAACACAGTACTGACAACATGATACTACATAGATGAACCTCTAAGACATTACATGGACTGAATTCATTTCTAGGAAATACCTGAAATGGATAAATAGAAAGATACTAAAGAGCAGATTGGCAGTTGCCAGATCCTGGGGAGAGGGAGGAATAGTTTGGACTGATGGAAATGTTTTGAACTAGATAGGAGTAGTGGCTACGACAGCATGAATGGACTGGATAAAAGGAGCAATGCAAAGTCTGATGACAGTATCTCATCCTATAGAAATTAATAAAGAGAATTTATGCATGCAATGCTGGAGTTTAACAAAATTAGTAGGATGAAATGAAAACTAGATTTGAAAAATAAGTATAAATGAGGAATTTTTTGGATTTAGAAAAAATAAGAACAAAGAAGAATACTATCAATCACATACTTTACCTGTGAGCACACACATACTAGAGAGGAATTTAGATAGACGCATATAATACCCACACAGAGAGAGCATTACATCTCAGGTAGCAAATACACAGCCTCTAAATATTTATAGAGCATGTACAAAATCAGTCACGTATTTGACCACAAAAGGAAACTTGTACAACCGTAAGTCAAAAAATAGCAAAATGGATTATGTAATGTTATAAATCCATGTTACCACAACAAAACTTTATTGTGGTAAAACTTTATTTACAAAAAGGCAAAATGGGCAAAGGATGAGTAGATAGTTTGTAAGAAAGCTTATCTAGATAACCAACAAATTCATGAAAAGATATTAGGCTTACTAGTATTAGAAATATACACATGGATGAGAATCTACTTTTCACTCAGAAGAGCTTCCAACATTTAAGAGTAGGTGGATCTTAAAAACACTGTTAAGTGAAAACTAAACAAATCTATGATCAATACCATATCCATGAGATGTGTGCTTATAATAATCATGTTAAAAGGACACAGGCAACAGATGGATAGATATTCAAATGGTTTTCTGGATTGATGAACAATGAGATCAGAAATGGAAATAAAGGAAAAATGGAAAAGTTAAAAGAAGTGAACGACAATACCTGTTGCTGGAGGTACGTAGGGGAAAGGGAGCTGCTGCTAGAAACATTGGTGTTACAGACTTTCTGGAAAACAGTTTTACGTGTCAGCATATTCTAGAAACATGGTGATAATGCTCATATGGGAATGGCTAAATAAAACACAGTGTGAAATATACAGCTGTTAGAATTTAAACTATAGTTGATGCCTTGAAGAATTTTCATGATGTTGAAAGAGGGGTGGAAGAGTATCTAATCATACTGCTAATCTTTGAGTGTGTATGTGGGAGTGTGTACATGTGCAGCACGGAGAAACATCAAGAATGTTCAGGAGCTCAGAGCTAGGAATTAAACTAATGGAAGAGGAAATGACAACAGAGGGAAAGACAAAGGCAACCAGTAAGAAAAGGGACATTTCTACCAAAAAAATTAAAATATTTCATCATCTTTATTAGTGATGGAGTGTTCTTTATATGTGGGGAGTCTTTGTAGACAGAAATTCAATCCTCGATGTGTTTGTTTAAAGTATGAATTTCTTAGGGGGTTGGGATTTCAGACCAACAGGAAGTATGTGGCATGTATAGTCTTGGTTGTTGTATATACAATCTGGGTATGGAGCTTGTTATGTCTGTGGTTTGTGTTATTTACAGAATCTTTGTAATTACAGTTCCTTGTCTAGTGATTTCATTATCTGCATGATTTTTTAAGAAAATAGTAAAAACAAGTTGGCTGGATTTACAGACAAAGCTTTTCAATTAGTGAGCCCTAGTTCAGTGTTTAGGAGTATGCAACTGAAATCTTAGTGATAACTGTGTCTTAGGAATTGAAGAGACTGCTATAGGAAAAACACTTAATTTTTTTGTCATTTAGAATACATTTTAACAAATGAGGTGTTTGGAGAAAAAGTGTAGAAGGGCATCTTGTGTTCTTGGCTGAGCCCAGACTGGCTGATATGTACCCATCTTTAGGGGTAAATATTAATATCAAAGTGCACCCTGTTTACTAAAGGGCTAAGTACTAACACAGTGGCAAGCTTTGGAGGGGGATATTAAGACAGTTTCACATTTATATTGTGTTTGTATTTCAGATGCCTTTGGTACTTCGTGAACAACATTTCCAGATATATCACAGAGATTAAGCCTTTGCCTCCCAACATAAAAGATCGGCTGCTTAAAATTATGAGCATAGAGGGACAGATAACAGATTCAAATATAAGCGAGGTAAGAGCGCACACAGCTATAAAGCAAGCGTATTTCATTTTTGTGTTTTGATACGGGTTCATATTTTTGGAGCAATGGTGTATGGCAGGATTAGTAATCATTTAAAGATACAATGAAACATTGAAGTTTTTTTCCTCCAGATAACCAAATTGTCCAGGTGTGATTGTTTCTAAAAAGTCTCACACCAATCTTTCATTTTTTTCCCTGGTCATCATACCAGCACCCTTGCTAGAAGTTTGTGATCAGTGATAACCTCAGTAAAGCTGGAAAAAAATAAAATGCAGCATGAGTAAATAAATGGCCACAACTGGTAAGAAACACATGATATGTGGCTACTCTGGTGGACATCACAACTTCTGCATGACAGTACTTTGGGTGCCACCCTGGGGTACTTTCTGTTAATTCATTTAAAACATGTTGATCCCGGCCTACTAAATTGATTTGATTTATTCATGGAGAGTGATCAGGAGTTAAAAATCATGCTTCTGAATCTTACCATCCTACTCATTTGTACTTACGCCCTTCCCTAAAACCACACTAACTTTCCTCAAGACACCTGTGCCTTGAGTTGACTCTTCTTGAAGGCAATGGAATAGTAAAGACCTCTCATCTGTAGGAAGCCCACAGTCTTGCACTCTTCCTGACTTCGAGCCTCAGTTTTCTAAACTGTTGAGTTGGTTCACAGCCACCATTGCTGTCTGCAGAGACAAGAACTGCTGACTTCCGACTTGATCACACATCCAACCCTCAGCGTGGGTCAGAAGGAAGCAGGTTCTGATGCCAGAATGCTAGCATGTGGCTGTACATGCCTTCGAGGATCACGTGCCTTCACCTGCCCCATGCTTGTACCTGGCGTCCTTTTCATGCTCTGCGCACCTCACACTTGCTGGCATTTGAACATGTGCCTGTTAGTGCTGCAGGTGGAATGGTGTCTCCAGGTCCTGGTTGCTGGTCACTATACGTCAGTAGGCACTGCTCACACAAAATGTGACCCCACATACACTGGTGCTTTTCCTCGACGCCCCACGTTCTATCCCATTGGCCTGTATTTCCATGACTTTAAATTCCATGACTTAAAGTTTTATGGAAATCCTTACCATTCATTTAAACCTAATTTTACCTGAATAAAAACGGTTAAGGGAGTGAGTAGGCTAGAAAAACTCAGAAGAGTGATTTCCTCTGGTGCTCTCTCTCAAGTCCGCATCTTTACAGAAGTCCTGCTTGCGAGATAGTTTAAATCTTTGGACAACTCTTTGAAATATTTCCTAAATGTTTTTATATGCTCTAGATAGAGATGGCCTTTGTAAGCGTGACACCATTGTTAGAAAGCAAGAAGGAGAAGATTGATGAATTTGTTGACATAGAAATATAAACTTCTTTATGGCAGGAAGATAAAAGAAAGTCAAGTAAACAAGAAAAATACTTGCAACATGTGTGAATTTCTGTAGGGTTTTTATCTTGACAAAACAAAGAATCTACAAACATATAAGAAAAACCAAAATAGAAGAATAATGTCATTAGTTATCAAATTCAGTTTGTCTTGAGTTGGGCAGAGCCCTGAAAAGTAGTTAACAGCCAGTGCTGGCACCAGTGTGGGGAACCACCACATCTGCCCCCTGCTGGTGAGAGTATAGATTAAGTTAAAAAAACACCTTTTAAGAGGACAGTTTGACTTAACTTCCTAAGTCTTAAGAATTTGCTTCCGCAGCACTATTTACAATCGCTAAGCTTTGGAAACAGCCCAAATGCCCAAAAATAGATGACTGGATCAAGAAGGTGTGGTACATATATACCATGGGATATTACTCAGCATTCAAAAAAGATAAATACATGCAACTTGCAGCAACATGGATAGCGCTGGAAGGGATCATGCTCAGCGAAATAAGCCAGAAAGAAAAAGAAAAATACGGATCTCACTCATAGCAGGAATCTAGAAAACTTAAATAAGGGACCAGGAAAATGAATAACTGTAAGAAAGTGAAAGTCAAAATCAACAAAAAACTATGAACCAGAGACACTTTTGGGGGGGGTGGGGGGTGGGAGGGGAGGGATTGGGGTCAGAATGAGGGGGTTGCAATTGTATGGGGAATATAAAAATAAAATTAAAAAAATTTGCTTCCCATCAACTCAGTGGCTTTGCCTCTAGCACCTTCTCCAGCTTTTCTGAGTGTGATGGGTATGCAGTGATGTGATTTGTACATTTATTGTGGGACAATTAACACAACTGGGGGGACCTTAGCACCTCTGTCCCCTCACTTAACTAGGTGTGGCTTTTGGTATTAATCTTAATAAAACAATAATGAGAAAAGCACATGAACTTGCTCATTTACAATAATAAAAATAGATGACAGCTATTGGCATATATGATAAGTGAGGCACCGTTATTTCTTACAGAATGTTAAACTGTTTTAACACTGAGGACAATGAGGCACAAAAAGAAAGGAACCTGATCACACTCAAAGGTGTTAAACTCAGTCCACTCCAGAGTAAATGTTCCTCATAACTACATCCAGTTGTCCCCACATCAGCCGAAATGGCCAATTGAATTGTTCACCCTGGAAGGGTGTGTTGAATGAATGTTGATATGTGCATGTGGTGGAATAGTATGCAGCCATGATCAATTACCTTGATAAAAAGTCCTTGTCTGATAGCATATATGATCTGATGCCATTTCTCCTCAGAGCCTTTCTTAAAGCCCCAAAACACTAATATTTTGTTTGTCTCTGGATGTTGGTACAAAGGGTAATTTTAATGATAGTTGTGAAAAGCATGGCCTTGGAATTAGGAAGACCTGTGGCCCAGTCTGACTGCTGCTCCTTTTGAGTATGTATTATTTTGTTGGCTACTTAAACTCTGGGTGTCTCAGTTCCCTCATTTATAAAGTGGCAGTGTGTGTGTGTGTGTGTGTGTGTGTGTGTGTGTGTGAGCGAGAGAGAAAGAGAGAAAATAGTAAATGATATATATAACATACTCAATACCCTTCCTGATAAGACCTCAGTTATTTATCATAATTTTTTTGTGGTGTGAGAATGTTTTTGCAAAATAATAACATTTTTATAGTCAGAAAAGTAAATCCATTTTGCTTTCTCAAAAAATAAAGGAAAAGAAAAATGGAGGAGAGCTCAGAATGCTTTGAAATTGATCTGCAAAATTTGAGGTGCTTAAATAAACACTGAGTGCTGGGTTGGTTTGTACTGTCCCAAAAGTAAGAAGGAAGGAGGTAAATGTTGTGGATAAAGCAGTGATCGCACCGTCAGCTCTTGTGTAGAAGGGGTCACAGACTCACTGCTGCTGAGCATAGAGGCGCAATCTAGAATCTGCACCCTGTCAGGTCCCCCAGCAGTGGAGGCCAGAACCTTGGCTTTGCCGGGCAGAAGGCCTGGCGGTGCGGTGTCCCCCTGCACCAGGGCTCAGCACTGCTATGTCTCAGAGGCCACAGGCCACTAGAAGCTGCGCCTCCAGGGGGCGCAGTCTTCAGTAGCTCTCCACACAGATAGGTTTTTGTTACCTTTGCTCTATTGTCCATCGCCATTGTTTTTCTTTATTATTTCTCTGAATATAGAAAGGCACACTTATAGAAGAAACTAACATTTTAAAATCATGTCATTTTTACAGATTTTGCATCCCGAAGCCCAAACCCTGAATGTGGAGAACTGTGAGATTTCAGACGCTGCCCTCCTGCATGTGTGTAACTGCAGGAAATTGAGGCGGTTAAATCTAAGTTCCCTTGATAAAAACAGAATCTCCATCACTTTGGAAGGTATGTTTCTTAACATCAAATAAATTGGGAAATTTCACTTCACCATTTTGTATAATTTTTAAGCAATGGAGGGGAAAATGTGTCAAAAGGGAATATGAAGCTATCAAAGGAATAGAAACTATACCAATAAAAGTATTCCTACTGTGATAAGGATAGTCTGTTTTAAATATTTTGCCTGGTACAGTGGAACATCAAATCACCAGTTCATGCTTTGTGAAGACTTTAAAAAAAATATTTTTATTTATTTGTGCATATAAGAACTGGGATATAGGCCAGAGATGCTGGGGTGGTGGGGATGTGGTGAGAAGATTCACCAGAGACAAAGAGGGGAGAACAGGCAGATCCACTGAAATACGCTGCTAAGGGGCACAGGGGAGTGAGACAGGTGAGGTCTGCTGTGCCATGTGGGCCAGCTCCCTGGCTGGGAATCAAAATCATTCCACAATGGCTGGTGACAGCTTGATAGTGCTGAGACTTTAACCCCTGCACCACCAGGGAGGCCCTTGTGAAGACTTTTTGATGTACTTTTGTAGCAGAAAGGCCAGTTATCATCAGATCAAGCCTACCAAGCTCTCTGTCATCAGTTCACGAGGCAGAGACTTTTATCACCAAGCAGACTGCATTTTGCAATGTCACTATTACATGAATGAACAGATTTTTACCACTTTTTAAAATATAGACCATTTTTTCCTTTTACTCGATTTTTACCTTTTTCTTCACTATAAGAAAGAGGGATTTATTTGACTACTTAGGTTTCTCAGCAATTTTATGGGTGCTTGATTATACTTTACAATCATCTTGGCAAGTTAGGATATTCTTAAAAATGCAGTAGCGTGAGTTTTTCAATGTTTACGCTAATAGTGATTCACTGAAAAGAACTTTCATGCTAGTCACTGATTAATAAAATGAAAATTTTTTCTTAAGCTATGGAAAACAGTAAAAATGACAGAAAAAAATGGTCTTTTTTTTCATTATAGTGAATTTTTACCAATTCACTATTGGTAAATGTGTGAAAATACCATTTTGTTTATTTTTCCCATGAAGAGATCTTTTTTCCTAAAGATATATTTATTTATTTTTGCATAGAAGAACTGGGGTGTGGGCCAAAGGTGTTGGGGGGAGGATTCCCCAGAGACAGAGTGGAAAGCAGAACAGGTGGATCTACTGAAATCCACTGCTGAGGAGAGGAGAGGGTGAGACAGAAGAGGTCTGCTGCACCATGTGGGCCAGTTCCTTGGCCGGGGATTGAACTCGGGCCATAGAGGTGACAGCACTGACACTCAACCCTAGGCCACCACGGAGGCCCCCATGAAGATGTACCTTAACTCTGCTGTAAGTTTGTCTGTAAGTAAAGGGCTGGCAGCTCTGCAGCTGTCTATTCGTGAGGCTCGTTGTTTGGTGCCGCTCTCCTGTGTGCACTTCCCAGCTCAGCTGGGCTCAGGTATGATTCCTCAGACTGGCCATGACAATGATTACTTAAAACTTTTGGGTAAATAGGGCCTCCCCCGTGGCGCAGCGGTTGAGCGCTGGGTTGCGAAGCTGCCCGCAGCCTCTGCGGCACTGGTTCGATCCCCGGCTGCTCCCCGGCCACCAGAGGAGGGTCCCACATGGCGCGCAGACCTCTCCTGCCGCCCGCTGCTCCCCTCAGCAGTGTACTTCGGTCCTTCTGCCTGCTCTGCTCCCCGCTCTGGCTCTGGTGAATTCTCTCACCCTCCCGTGCTTCTGACTGTACCCAGTGCATGTATAAACAAAAAACAAACAAACAAATAAATAAATAACATGCCTCTATAAAAAAAAAAAAAACTTTTGGGTAAATAGTGCTGCAATAAATGTAGGGGTACAGGTGTTCTTTTGAATCAATGTTTTTGTGTCCTTTGGGTAGATCCCTAGTAGTGGAATTGTTGGGTCATATGGTAGCTCCATTTTTAGTAGACTGAGGAACCTCCAGACAGCTTTCCATAGTGGTTGGACCAATTTGCACTCCCACCAGCAATGTAGGAGAGTTCCTTTATATACACGATAGAATATTATTCAGCAATCAAAAAAGATAAACTCATGCCATTCACAGCAACGTGGATGGGGCTAGAAGGAATTATGCTCAGTGAAATAAGCCAGAAGGAAAAAGAAAAATATTGGATGGTTTCACTTATAACAGGAATATAGGGGAACCAAATAAGACATCAGTGTAAAAAATAATAATAATTACAGTACAAAACACAACAAAGTAAATAAAAGACAGTTATAAATCAGAGACATCCTGCAGGGGAGGAGGAGGGAGAGGGATCAGAGGGAGGGAGGGAGGAGCACAGGGGACTGTGGTGATGGTGCACGGGTGCCTTGGAGAAGGAAATTCTATGGGGACTCAATCTGAGTGGGTGGGGGGGAAGCAAATATTGTTTAAAAAATAAAATAATTAATTTTAAAAAACCATTTGGGTAATTTAACTGTTGATTTCCTTTCAAAGTTGACACAAAAATTAACTTTATTACCTGAAAACTTTTGTTTGAACAAGAAGGGTGATCTGTTAATTGCTCAGCATGGTTCTGTCACAGAACACCGGCCTCAGTTTTCCCTCAGCCAAAAAAAGGAAAGAGTTTGAGGAAAAGGAAAGTGGTTTAATTTGTCGACAAATGAGGAGGGCGGTAGACTCATGTCTGAAAGACCACTGTCCTGCTCTTTGACAGGGTGCAGGGGTATTTATACAAGGGGGAAAGAGAGGGAGATGAGCAAGGGTCTGCAAAGGGGAGGGGGAAGGGGTCAGCACGGAGATAGGTCGGCGCCAGCTTGCTTTTCTTCAATAGCTGATGTTTAACTCCCTCTTCCTTGGAATGCAGGAGGACTTGTTAATGCTCATCAGAGAGACCCGTCCTGTCCGAAAGACAAACCTGTCAAACAAGGGGGAAATTGCAAGAAATAGGGGAAAGACAAACTTGTTAATGTTTATCTGAGAGACTGGTCATAAAGAAGACAAACCTGTCAGGAAATAGGGGAAAGACAAACTTGTTAGTGCCTGTCTAAGAGACCAGTCATTTGTAACTGCATCAATTCTGCCTTTTGGCTGTTTTCTAAAAATGCTCATCTTCTTGTAAACAGTAGAAGCTTGCCATTAATTGAAGATATTCTGAGGACTATATTGCAGGCTCTGTAGACAATTCCTGAACACATTCAAGAGTGTTGAATCATGACAGACAAATATCTTTCCAGGTGAATTGCTTTGAGAAAGGCTAGTAGTACCCAGGCGGCGTGTCAGTCTGGGGACGCTGAAGCAAGCAAAGCCAGGTGCTTGCTGTGCACATGCACGTCCTATGCACACACTGATGTGTTGTTGTTTCCCCCCAGGATTAAAAGCTGTGGCTTCATCTTGTTCATACCTGCAGGAAGTTTCTTTGAAAAGATGCACCAACCTTACTGATGAGGGAGTCCTTGCTTTTGCCCACAGTTGCCGGCTGCTAAAGTTAATCAATATAGGCAGCTGCCTCCGGATAACTGATGTGTCCTTACGAGCACTAGGAGAAAACTGCCCACTTCTGCAGTACGTTAACTTTTCAGGGACTCAGGTAAGTGAATCCTAGACCTGAAACCCAGAGACTGTTCACAGGAGCATTTCCTGACCGCTCTCTCATCACCTCCAAAACTGTGGGGCACTGCCTGCTCTGGGGGTGAATGACTGCATAAAACCTGGCAGTTCCCCTCAGTTCTTTTAAGTGAGGATGGGAGGTGTGTGTGGGCAAAGCAAGTTTGCTGAATGTCGAACTATATATTTGACAAAGAAGTGTTAGAAAATTTGACTCCTGTCATCTCTACTCAGTGCCCTCTTGCTTTTCCCCTCTGCGTAGGTATCTGACAGTGGTGTGGCTGCACTGGTTAATGGACCTTGTGGGAAGAAATTAGAGGTAATTAAAAATATTTGTACAGGAGATACTTGCTGTAGTTTTGTGTTATCCTTAGGAAGCATTTTTTTAAACCTAGCAGATAACCATGGTCTCATTATCAGTTGGGCATTTCCATGGATGTATTTTTCACTTGTTTTTCCTTGTCTACTCCCCAAGTAAAGGAAAACTGATAAAGTTAGGAGATAAAGTATGCTTAAAAATAAAGATCCAAGTTACTTCCAGCAAAAGTTTTATTTTTCACACACTTTAGTTTCTAACACATTTAAGGATGGTCTTACTGTGGTTGAAGATTGTGAAAGTTTATCAATATGAAGTGACATTCTTTAGAATTTGCATGTTGGATGTTTCTACTAGGATTGCTTATTCTCTTACCATCTTATTTATCTTGATATTCATAAAGGGATTCAGACTATACTACTATGGCATAAAAATTACTTTGAATGAAAGATATTTGAGAATCAACATGCAGGAAAAAAAGAAGACTTGGTCTAAAACACCCACCCCACCTCATACGCCTAAAGATAGAGACTTCCAAAAGAATTCCACCACCACAGCTCCCTTCCAGAAGGACTTCCCTCCCCTGTTTTCCCTAAAAGTCCTTGTTTTCTCTGTGTCTTCTCTCCCCACCTTCCCTTTTAGTAGGGCATATAAATTCTGGTCATTCTTTTAAGGCACTTTCTTAGTGAGCTCATAGCTGAATAAATTATCTTTTCTGTGCTAATCAGTTTTTGTTATTTTAATTTTGTTATTTTAATCACAGGTCCCCCCAAAGGAAGAACCTAACAGGGTAGGCGGAAAAATTCTTTCTCCACCACAGGCTCATTGTCCAGCCATCCCCAGAGACCTTAAAGTAGCATTCATCCTGCAGGTCACTGACTGATGAGGCATTGCCAGCCTCTTTCTAAATGCTAAGAAACCTTTCATCCCAGGATTTTTGACTTCTTCCTTCCCTGGATCATAGTATTTTTTCTTAAATCTTATTTAATATAACTGTGGTTTTCAATAATAAGTCCCATCAAGTTATTTGGTTTTTTTTTTTTTTTTTTTTTAAGTAAGCAGGCTTGAAATGCACTGTAAGTGCTAGTCATAGCTACTACAATGGCAGCGTCATGTTTTGCCAAAATGTTTCTCGAGTTATTCCCGGAAGAGATTTTTTTAAAGATTTTTTTTTATTTATTTATGCATACAAAAACTGGGGTGTAGGCCAGGGGTTCAGGGGGTGAGAGGATTCACCAAAGACAGAGTAGGGAGCAGAACAGGTGGATCTACTGAAATCCACGGCTGAGGGGAGTGGCAGGCAAGACAGGAGAGGTCTGCTGCACCATGTGGGTCAGCTCCCAGGGACTGAACTTGTGCTGCAGTGGCCACAGAGAGCATCATAATGCTGAGATTTAAATCCTTGCAACACCAGGGAGGCCCCCCGAAGAGATTTTTTACATATTTATATATCAGACACTTAGGTATCTGCATCCAGCTTGATTGTGTGTGTGTGTGTAGATGATTAAATAAAATTCATAATTTTATAAATCTTTTAATTAAGCAATCACCATATTTTTCTAATACCATGTTCCCAGTTGCACCTTAACTGTAGGGACAAAGATGCTGACAGATTTTCACTGTTCTACATACTAACATTTTTTTTTAGCACTTACTATGTGCCAGCCTCTGTGCTACAGCCTGGTATTCATTAGGTGATTTTATCCTTAGAGCATCATTATCCTATAATCAACATCGTTTTAGATAAAGTCCTCAAACAATAAATAGTTGATCACTCCCTATAGAACCACCGGAAATCGGTGTTGTGCAGGAGGAGGAAACAGACCTACATCTCCTTCAGTGCCAGCACATCAGGAGCCCCACTGAGCGGGCTAGAGAAGAAACCCTGCAGCCACCCAGTGCTGATGACTGTGCATCTGGCTCCCAGACCCCAGGGGGCTCTTGGTTTTTGTCTTACATAGGAAAGAACAGCAAGAGATTTATTGACAGATAAGGACAGAAAAGTTCTCTGAGCAGAGAGGGGTCCCTAGTGGTTAGCCATTGAGGGGGCGAGAAACAGGTATTCATATGGGTATAGTGGGTGAAGTTTTGGGGGCCCAGTTTCTGCTGGTCATTGTTTCTGTGTTGTGTTTCTCATTGATTGATTGAGGCCTAGGGAGTCTCCAAGGTTACTTGGCCTGCTTTCCAAAAATGAGCTATGGTCGGTTGCTTTGACATTGTTTTAGTGTGTTGATGTTCTGAACGTTTGATTTTTATTGGGTTGGGGCACCCTGACCATGACCCACTGTTACTCAATCAGTTTGATAAATGGGCTTAGGGCACCTGGGCTTGTCCCTTCCCCACACCCCCACCCCCATCCTAACTAATTACCTGTACCCATTTCCTAGCTTCCTCATTGAACTATAGTGCCTGCCATCCAGTTTTTCATTTGATTAGTTTTCAAAGCTTCATTCTGTCAATGTCTGAACACTTCAATAGAAATCTTTCTCAAATTTACAAGAACTTAATTCCTTGTTAAACAAAATAGAGTGAAGATGCTTCAGCCTTTGGCTCACTGCACCATTTTGACCACAATTTCTGACTCAAATTAAAATACAGACCTTTCCATCTTTTACTAACCCTCCTATTGCAGGTGATATATACACTGACCTATTATCATGGATTCTGTTTAATCTGTTACTTTTAGTTCCTTCTGTTCCAGGAAATTATCCATGATCAGCATTGCTAAATTGTTTATAATTTGAAAATAGCCGATTAAAGTCTAAGGTCATCTCCTAAGACTGATATGCATTTAGGCAGGTCTCTGTCATCACATTTATTGATCGTTAGGATTGTTTCTGAACTCTCTGATCTGACAGTGCCCAGGGGCCACCTTGCTCAGCCTTTTCCATTCATTTTATTCCCAGGTTTTATTGCAGCTCCAGACATTTAGTAGTACCTTAATCAGTGTCCTTAACTTTTTTATTTTTTTTTTAAAGAATTGTTTATTTATGCATATAAGAACTAGGGTATAAGCCAGAGAAGCGGGGGGTGGGGAGGTGGGTTGTGTGAGAGAATTCACCAGAGACAGTGGGTAGTAGAGCAGGCAAATGTACTGAAATACACTGCTGGGGGGAGCAGGAGGCGAGACAGGAGAGGTCTGCTGCGCCATGTGGGTTATCTTGACTGGCAGGGGATCGAACTCTTGCTGTAGTGTCTGGCAGTAGCTTGATAGCTCTGTCTTTTACCACTGCACCACCAGGGAGGCCCCCAATGTCCTTAACTTTTTGTGATAACCATTTTATAGGTTTCATAAAATGTTTGTGATTGAAAGTTTACCATGTCAACTTTGATTTTTTCAACAAATATTTGTAAACACCTCCTCTGAGACTGGCATATCAAAGGAAAAACTGTCCAGTTTGTGGTGATTAGAGAGGATCAGGTATGGGCGTACCCCTTCTCTCCCCCAGATTAAAGATGCTCATGTGTGGGGTGTACCCATTTCTTCTCCCACTGCTGCTGTGAACTCCAAAGTTGAAACATGGGGACCAGGGGTATGAATACCTTTTTAACTGCCCTGAATCCTATGACTGACTTTTCCTCCTAAAGGTTATATTGTGAATTTACAGTTTTGTCAGGAACCTGATTTGCCAAATTGAATCTTTTCTGTTTTAAATTTTAATGACTTAACATATTTTAAGTGGTGAGTTGAACACTGTTCCTTCCATCTACTCTCAAATCATATTTGTTGGTATGTGGCCTTTGCCAGGTTATACCTTCAGATACGTAAGCCCATTCATAATATCGGAGGCTCTTTGTCACAGTTTGTTTTCAATTTAATCAGGTTTCCTTTAATGTGGTTGATTACTTAATATCTACTTCTCTGGAAGTGGAAACACTACTACTGTAAATATGCATGACAGCTACTAGATAAACCTCCCAGAATGCTTACAATGTTTTCATTTTGAATCACCATTTATTGGCACATGCGCTTACAGATAATATTACAGTGGGCATGTTTATAAATTGTTGTCTTGCACACATGTACAGGAGTTTCTTTGTGGGTTTTGGGGTATCTTCAGGTTTAATGGATGTTGCCACCATGTTTTATAAAGTAGCTGGGCATTTATTTAACTTTTAAAGCTGCGGACATACTTGCTCCCTTCTGGAGACTTTTTTTGCAAGTTGGTGATGGGTTCTTTTTGTGTCATAGTGTTTTCACATTTTTATTGTAGAGCTGTCTTTTCTCTTGACTGTCTTCTCCGTTCTTTCTTTCTAACCAGGAGATTCATATGGGCCGTTGTGTGAATCTGACCGACGAGGCTGTTGAAGTCGTCCTCACTTGCTGTCCTCAGATGCAGATTTTCCTCTTCCACGAGTGCCCCCTGATGACAGGTCAGTGTGAGGGGCCGCGGGGTTCCCGGCTTGGTGTCACCTGTCATGATGTGTGACCTTGTGTCGTCAATTATCCCATTTCCTCATCTGCGACATGGGTCTGATGACAGTGCCTGTCTCATACACAAAGCCTGGTGACCCAACCACATTCCCCTGCTGCCGGGCCCATTACCCATGCTCGGTAAATGTCGGTTGCAGTGGCGATGACGTGGTATTGGCGATGGCCAGTGCTCTATAAGTGTTAATTAGGGTGAGTTCTGGTGGTGCTTGTGCTACTAAAAAGACCACGTATAAAAAAAATCAAGTTTACAGCATTGTATCCATCAGCTGTGTTATACTGTGTAAGCCATGACTTTGCCATTCAGAATGATCTGGACCCTAGGGCTGATGTGACACTTCACTGAAGGAGAGCAAGGTGACCTACGATGCTGTTTGTCAGTACAGATACTGTATGTCACACCACACACACACACATATACGCGCGCACGCGCACACACACACACACACACACACACACACACCTCTTATTGTCCCTGCCATGGGTCCCAGATCCAGGATTTCCAGCTTCTCACTCATCAGTCAGTCCTCCAGCTCCTTTCTCTGATGGCAGTGTGGACACTTGCTCTCTGGGTTGACTCACTGCCCTAGATGTCCTTTTATTTTATTGTTTTTTTAAAGATTTATTTATTTTTATATAAGAGCTGGAGTACAGGCCAGAGGCGCGGGAGGTGAGAGGATTCACCAAAGACAGAGCAGGGAGCAGAAAAGGCAGAATGACCGAAATACACTGCTGAGGAGAACAGTGGGTGATACGGGAGAGGTCTGCCGCTCAATGTGGGAATCTCCCTAGCCAGCCAGGGATCGAACCTGCGCTGCAGAAGCTGCAGACAGCTTCACAGTGCTGCACTCAACCCACTTAGCCACTGGGGAGGCCATTTTTTTTTAAAGATTTATTTATTTATGCATGTATGCAAGAGCTGGAATGTAGGCCATAGGTACGGGGAGGGGTTGTGAGATGATTCACCAGAGACAAAGTGGGGAGCAGGACAGGACAATTGACTAAAATACACTGCTGAGGGAAGCAGTGGGTGAGACAGGGGAAGTCTGCTGTGCCATATGGGTTAACTCCCTGGCCAGGGATCAAACTCCTGCTGCAATGGCTGCATAGCTTGCACAGCTTCACAGTGCTGAGACTTAACCTCTTGCACCACCAGGGAGGACCCCTAGTGTCCTTCTAACAATTACTATCCTTTCTTAGGTTGGGACTGCCAGTCTACATGACATCTACATGGGTTGTATTTCATCATCAGTGATATGTACAGTTGTACAGTAAAGACTAAATCTTATTTTAGGCAAAGACAGTTCTCAAAAAACCAAGGCTGACAGGGCCACTTATGAAACTGTTAACAGTGCTTACCTCTGGGGAGGTTGTGCTGTCACAAGAGTAGGAAAGGACCTTCATCGTAAACCCTTTTATACCCTTTGGATTTTGTGTCCTATGGATGATTTTACTTATTAAAGTTAATAGCAACATTAAAATCAGTCAGAGCCAGAAATCACCTGGGACTGAGTATGCAGGGTTGTTTCAGGTGTCACTCACCTGGGGTGATGAGATCATTAATGCAAAAGAGACCCTACACAGTGACTCTTATGAACTAAGGTTCTTCAGAGAAAACAGCCAAAGTTTTTTGTGCCTGATCATCTCTGCTCTTCTTCCCCCTTCCTTGTCAGCACCATCAGTGAATGAAAACAAAATGTACCAATAGGGTCAATGTACATTTAATTTCTATTTTCCTCTAAAGAGAAGAGATGCTTTTTCATTTGTCTGATAAATGAAATTTTTTTCTTCCAGCACAGCAACTTATATAACATGTGTCCTTGTGCTTGTATGTTAATGTGGTTACTCACATGTGACTAGCTAAGACCAAAGTTTATATTCTATAAAAGGATGTATGTGCATAGGTAGGTGCAGTTATATATTATGTTATCCACAGAGCAATTTGGTCCCCAAATTGGCAGTGTCCACTGTAATTGCTAGTGGATTCTCCAGTTAATGTTTATCTTGTCTATTGTATTTCTAAACACTTATACAAAATTTTTTGAGATTATAGTCAGACTATAAAGAGAAATTCACATTATAAATTAGGATTTGACACTGTTAAAAGTACTTTGTATTTCTGCAGAAGATAATAAAAAACTAAGCTACAATTTAAAATATTGGCCATCATAATATAGTTTTATACATTATGGAAGCAGAAAAATAATTTTTTAATGTATTAAAGTCTTTTTAATTCAATTGTGTTCGTAATGGTTATCAGTAAGTACCACTCCACAGTGAAAATCAATAGTAATCTACAGTAAACATGCATTTCAGTTCCTCCTCATTCTCTGAGCATGCTTCCCAGCATTCAGAGGCCTGAAGCTTTAGAATTCAGAAGAGCAGCAGACACAGCTGGGATACCAGAGTGCTTGTATTTACATTACAAGGCAGGAGGACATGACAGGAAATCTGCCACTTTTGAATGCGTTTACTCAAATTTACATCTGAGGATTTGTTACAGCCTTCTTACTTTACAAGCAAGTTGCTTACATAGATTCCTGGATAATAAATGTGCCAAAATTCACCACAGAGAGTCAAAGCAAAAGTATTTCAAGACCCAAGTGGTTTGCTTCAATTTTCTTTTAGTTAGTGCTAATTCCTTGCACTAATTCCCAACTCATTTCATATTTTACTTTTTAAAAATCCTAAATTCTTTTTCCTCATCACAATTCATTCATTCATTACTAGTTCAACATGGCAAACTTTTTTATAAGGTATAATTGGTGTGTTAGTATCAGGGGTACAAAGAAGGGGTGCAAAATAGGCTGTCTCAAAATGTGCCACTTTGAGCTAAAGGCAGTCAAGACCCAAGAGACCTAAGAAAAACTTACTTTTCTCTTAACTACCTAGAAGAATCTAGATAAGGAACCTTACCCATAATGGATTATTATCAAAAGTAAATTTTCATGACCTATATTAACGGTAGGACAAACATCTAATTCACAAATATCTGCTCTCCTTGTTGTCCTGTGAATTGCCCTCCTCCACCTTGAAGTGCCAGTCTTTGGCTGGGGGTGGCACAGAATCTTCCTCTGCCCCACTCATCCATGAGTGTCATGTCTTTGAAGTTTTGTACATAAGTAATTTACTTTACTTTTCTCCTGTTAATCTGTTCTATGTCATTTTAATTATTAACCAGACAAAGCACCAAGAGGGAAGAAGAGAACATTTTTCCTCCCCTGCAACAGTAACATGACTCAGTATTTGTACATACTGTGCAGTGGTGTGCCCCCCCCTCCTCCCCCCTCCCCAGTCTAGCAAGCCTCTGTCACCTCACCTGGTTACAACATGGCAGAGCTTTACTGCAACAAAGTAAATGATGCCAGACACTGCAGTGAAGCATTAGAACTTGATCATTGTTTGTAAAAATATATACCAGTCTCACTGTTTGTAGTGTATTCTACAGAAATGTCCAATTTACATTTTCCTTGCTCATTTGAAAACTTTCATTTGTTCATTTTCATGGTACTCCAAAAGCCCCTGCAATGTGTCTCTTTCAAAAAGTGGGCTTGTGTATGTCAGTCACAGATTTTTAGAGAGATGTTGAACTTCTAAGTTCCTTTGATATCTTCCCTTCAACAATTTTCAGGATAAGGGTGCAGAGAGAGGGCCTCCCCTGGTGGCTCAGCGGTTGAGTGCTGGGCTGCGAAACTGCCCACAGCCTCTATGGTGCCGGTTCGATCCCCGGCCGCTGGTCAGGGTCCCACATGGCGCGACATACCTCTCCTGTCATGCCTTCTGCTCCCTTCAGCAGTGTATTTCATCAGTCTGCCTGTTCTGTTCCCTGCTCTGGCTCTGGTGAATTCTGTCACCCTCCCGTGCTTCTGACTGTACCCAGTGCTTGTATAAATAAATAAATGAATCTTAAAAAAAAAAAAAAGGTGCAGAGAGACAATGAATTCGAGTGGCTTGCCCAGATCTTAACAATAGTTGCTAGTAGAATTGGGAATAAAAGTCTAAGTCATCTGATCTGAAACCTCTAGCTCTGTGCCCAGTAGAGCAATTTGCTGAGCCTTTTGCACCCAGGGGCTCCCTATTACCAGAAACGGAAAAGTGGAAGGGTGGCCTCAAGTGCCAATGGTATAACTGGGCCCTGTTCAATCCAGAGAGTGTGTTTTGAGGACAGTAGAATGTGCCACCCCAAAACATACCTCTTTGGCATTAAGTGTTATTTTTGAGAAAAAGCAGACACAAGAGAAACCCTGAAAATAGCAGAGAAGTTACCCTTTGGCAGGGGCAGTTTACCCATAGAGGAACTCTCCACTGTCAGCATCCTCCATCATCTCCCCCTCTGAGGCAGGAAGGGAGGAAGACTCAACCACAAGAGAATTATATTATTGAGGAAGGCACTGACTTAAATCTCTGAAACAAACCCTTGTTCACTCTGCTTTTCCTGGTCACCTCCCTTAACTGCCTCCCCCACTCTGGTATCTTTCTTTTGTCTTTAGCTGAAGGTGGTATTTTTTTTATGGATTTATTTTATTTTTTTTTATGCCTACAAGAATGTACTTAGAGACCACAGAGTTTCTCCCATAGGAGAGTAAACTCACAGGTATTGGATATCTATGCTACTCAAACTCACTGTTCTAAATTCTCAGCTTTCATGTGAGAAAGCAGACTGGAGACTTTGAGTAATGTAATACTGCCATCTAGCATTAAACATTTTAACTACTTAAAAAGACAGGCATTCTCTTAGAGAGGGCAATGTCTTCCTATTCATGAGCAATAATAAATTCCTACAGAATGGTGACAAATATAGTTAGAAAACAAGTATTTGTATATTTTTGGTGACATTTTCTTAACTAGTAAGAATACCTCATAATCCTTGGTACCAGCTAAAATGAAATCTGGAAGCATAAATTTCCAATTTTGTCCTTTTTCAAATTGTTGTGGCCACAAGGGTCACTGGACTCATTCCCATATTAGGATCTTGTCAAGTTCTTTTTTTTTTTTTTAAGATTTATTTGTATTTATTTATTTATACAAGCACTGGGTACAGTCAGAAGCACGGGAGGGTGAGAGGATTCACCAGAGCCAGAGCAGGGAGCAGAGCAGGCAGAAGGACCGAAGCACACTGCTGAGGGGAGCAGCGGACAGCAGGAGAGGTCTGCATGCCATGTGGGACCCTCCTCCGGTGGCCGGGGAGCAGCTGGGGATCGAACCGGCGCTGCGGAGGCTGCGGGCAGCTTCGCAACCCAGCTGCGCCACCCGGGAGGCCCTCTTGTCAAGTTCTTTAACAAGGAAAGCCAGCTGGGGTTGTGATAGGGGTCCCGTGGGATCCCTGGACCTGTTGAGGATGTGTGGCTTACTAGGCCTGCTGACCTATGAGCATGAATGTCTTCCCAGTTGCTTAGATCTTATTTTTGTTTTGCTTAAAATTTAGTAACCATGGGGGCCTCCCCGGTGGCACAGCAGGCTGAGCACAGTGCTGTGAAGCTGTCTGCAGCCTCTGCAGTGTGGGTTTGAATCCCAGCAGGCCAGGGAGATTCCCACATGGCGTGACAAACCTCTCCTGCCTTTGCCCGCTGCTCCCCACAGCAGTGCTTTCGGTCCGTCTGCCTGTTCTACTCCCCACTCTGTCTCCAGTGAATCCTCTCACCCTCCTGCGCCTCTGACCTGTACCCCAGCTATTGTATAAATTAAAAAAAAAATTTAGTAACCATATGTTAGGCCCTCTATTTTTTATCTACTTTTTACATTTGTGAGCATTACTAAACCAGAACATTTCTAAGACTAGGCTTGAGATATGTTGTACACACACATTTATGGAACAGGTTTATTAAACTAAAGGTTAATTTTTAAGGTAATAGACTTGTCAGTATTTTTGCTTTAATTCATGTTTTTAAAAGACATAAAACTGACTTTGCAAAATAAATGTAAAGTATATTAAAACCACTACAATCCAGTATGAATAATTGAAAAACCATCAAAATATCAGTGATAAATGTTGGTTAGGTTGAATGAACTCATGAAGCAGCTACCTGTCAAGCCCTCTTTATAAGAGAATCGTGTAAGAGAAGACGCACTCAGCCCAGACCAGGTGGCCTTATTCTAGTCGCTGCTCCTCCCCTAAGTCTTTCTGGATAGTTGCCATCTCCCAAGGAATTTCAGCCTCCTGGTGGCTTCCTTTCCTCCTGCTCATGCTTTTGTAAAGAGTCACTTCATTAAACCCTATTCCAATACCCCATTTGAGTGAGTCATCTATTTCCAGTATAGGGGCATAAGGGAAACATTCCCCCACTCCACTGGGTTCTTCTCTAGCTAGTCAAGCAAAGAAATGAACATCAGACATTAATAAAAGAAAAAGAACAAATTTAATTCCTTAATAAAGACTTCAAAGGTTGTGAATTCTAGAGTAAATGAGACTGAGGGATTATATCCTGAGGTTAGGAATAGGATGGGGCCTGGGGGTCTCACATGATAAGGGGGTGACTCATATGACAAACCAAGATACTCTAGAAATTTGCCCTGCCATGAGATGGGCTTCTTTGCTAAAAAGATAGTTTCTGGAGGAGACAGTAAACCCAGGTGGTGGTCACTGTTCAAGGTGATGGTAAGTTTCCCTTGAAGCCCACTGGGTCTTGGGTGACATTAGTGCTACCTGCCAACATGATACATTTTGGAAAAAGCCTTGCTCTGGACTTGCAGCAAGCCTATCCTTAACATTTGGGTGGGGGGAGGGGGGCGGCAATCCTTCCCCTTCCATGACTCTTGAGAAAGTTAGTAGTGAAGTTACAACATTTCACTATTGGCTAGTGGAATTGTTGAGATTACAGGAAAAATAATAAATGCTTGTTTTTTTCCCTTAGTACTCCTATGATGTGCCCTGCAGCTAATAATCCTGTGAGCTCTAATAGTTGTCATTCCCAGTTTATCTGTGAAGACATTGTTAGGAGAGTGGATGCTCATGGGTCCAGTTGTGTTCGCCATTTGAAGAATAACAGCTGCTACACTAAACGTGAAAGCAAGCAAGTGTGGATTTATTGAAGCAAGAGGAAAGAAATCCTGACAGCAGGATGGGGTCTAAGGGAGGATGCCTGTTTTCTCCAGCCCTGTCTATGAATATATCCTGTCAGACTTCCTGTTATCCAATGTGCCAGACTATTGATTAGGCAGGTGGTTGGGAAGTTACCTGGTAGTTGTTTTTCTGTTCCCTAATTATTCGGGCCTTACTCTAGTTGGTGGCTAGCTCAGCAATATTTCAGTAAAACACTTCTATTTTCCTGGGAGCTGTTTTGTTCCTTCTGTTCCTATATTGTTTAAAATCACTGTCCCATGTCTCATTGTTTCCTGTTCCCCAAGTTCTCTTTGGTCGCAGTTCCTCTCAACATGTTAAATATCTTTGATTACTGTGAATGAAAACATACTCTTTTTCTGTTGTAGATCGTTCACGAGAAGTCTTGCAGCGATTAGTAGGCCCAAACAAACTAAAACAAGTGATGTGGACTGTTTATTGACATTCCTTGAAGCTTATCGAGCCTTGATCTCCACACTGCTTTCCCAGGAAACTTGGTGTGTAGAGCCTGCTTGTCACTTAGCTTAGCTGCCCCCTATGTTTGCTATCTTCTTTCAGGTTGTAACTGAGGGCAAGGGGGTGGGGTGGGTGAGATCACCCCTTTTGTTCCACTTGGTAATCCCAGCATGGCCTCTAGTTTGTTTGAGGGCAGGGGACATTGTGTGTTGTTTCCTTAATAAAGTTTTTTCAGTTATCTGATTTTCCTCTATCTAGATATTTGAGCTGTTATAAGAGAAATTTACTTGTATGGATGAAGAGTTTTAGCCTACATAAAACTGTTAAAGGCGGAATTGCCTTCGTGGCTGTTTTCCAGCTCCTGCCTTCCCGAAATGTTTGGATGCCTATTGGCCAAAAGCTGTCAGGCTTGTAAATTCCTTGCTAAATACATTATTTCAATGAAACAAAATAATTGATGGTCTAATAATTGTTATGTTCTAATAATTGATAGGACATCTCACATCCGGCTGTTCAGCTTATGTGCCTAGCCTCTTATTTCATGGATTTTTATGCTACTTTTCCCAAACGTGTGGTGTTCACCTATGAACCTTCTTTCCTAAAAAGCAAGTCCTGCATTCAGGAGGGGTTCCGAATAAGTTTGCAAACTGTCACGACAGAGGTTGGTTTCATACTGAAGTGTGCTTGCGGGGTGCTTAGACCTCCCCTCAACTCAGCATGTTCCCTGCACATGTTCCTGTTTTGGGGGCTTCCTTATAGACTTTCTGTTTTAACTCTAATATCATGAGAGATGGGGGAATGTGGTGTGGCCCATTTCTCATGTATGGCGGTGGGGTTCCCATCCCCGATCAGCTCTGTGCACATGCTGTGTCTAGGGTGCAGCTGCAGAGGTGGTCCATGTAGATGTGTGAGAAACTGGGAAGGCCTCTTCCATCTACGACTTTTCTCTAAAGACAAATTCAATTAAACAATGTTGACTATCTAAGCAACGTTTTCCCCTTTTGGGGAAACTAGTTTCAACCAGTTTGATTTCTTGTTTTTGTTACTGCTGGTCAGATTAACTCTCCCTCTCCCTGCTTAAAGTTTCAGCATCCTCCTCCTATCCCTCCCCACTGCCCCGTCCTTATCACCTTGACTTTTTTCTCCTCACCATCTGACATGTATTATTGTTTATGTGTTCATTATCTGTCTCCCTACCCTAAATTAGGTTTCAAGAAGACAGAAACCTTTGAGTTTTTTTTACTGCTGTGCCCCCAGTGCCTAGAATAAGCCCCCAAATAAATAAACAAATGGACAAGGGAGGAAATATAGGAGAAATAAAGGAATTTGTGATTCTTGAGCTTTCAAGCATTATGATAACTCTGTGTGGAGTGTGGGTATTCACACTCCATGTGAAGAGATTGGAAGTCATCATCCTGTCCTCACAACAAGGTGAAAGCTAAACTGAAAATCATGATTTGGGATAGTATTATCTGAAAGCAGACTTGGAATTGGTCAACTACTAAAATAATTTTTTAAATCACTGATACCCTAAGGGAGGAGAGAAATAGAATCATATAAAAGGTTCAATCAAAAGTAGGTAAGTCAGAAAAATAGTGCGCGCGCGTGCGCACACACACACACACTGAAACAGAACAAGGGCAACAGACAGGAAAGCTATAAATAGGGCTCAAATTAATCCAGCTACATCAATAACCACTTTAAAATATGATTATGTCTGTTTAAGCTACGTAGTCATTTCAGGGTTTACTGCTACAAGTGGGAGATTAAAAACTACTCTAACACTGGAACACCTCACAGGCTTTCCAGTGCTCTCTTCCTAAGTCCCTGAGCGAGGGTGAAAGGAACAGGGTTTGCAGATACTTGAACTTGAATCTACTCTGCTGACTTTCACTTAGTGCTCCATAGTATAATTTGCTCCTTCTTATCTTGCTTAGAGGGGCAATAAGCAGCAGAATACCCTCAATTTTCAGAAAATATGTGAATAAAACTAATCCTTAACTATCCTCCAGTGCCAGTGTGGCCTATAATTCCTATTAATTTTAATCAAGGCTAAATCAAAATTTTGAGTTTATAGCATGAATGGCTTAGTGAACAATGGAAACTGGGTGCAGCAGAAGTTGACTTTGGCACAGGGTTATCATAAACACTTAAAAGCTCAAGAATCACAAATAAGTACACTCCAAGAACATTTGAAATCCAGTGTGTTTTGGAAACAAGATTTGTCATTAAACAGGAACTGCACTCTTTAACTGGGGAGCCTGCAAGCCCAACCCAGACACAGCTGGGCCCACCCTCGGGTGTGCTATGGTGGTTCGGGGCTGAAATCCCACACTGTGCTTGTGGTCAGTCCATTGTTCTGCCGCTGAGTTGGCTCTGGAAGCAAGTATTCCATCAGCCTGTGCACTTGGTGGTGGATGTGGTGTCTGTTGAACTGCGGCCGCCCAGGGTCGCCAATTAGCACCCGAGTTCCGTGGGCCCAAAAGCAGTTCCTCAGCCACCGATGCAGATGATCCGCAAGGTCTTCGTCATAAAACATATCTCCAAGCATGATAAGGTCCCACTTCTCTTGTTCCAAATCCAAGATGTTTTTGATTAAAATGGGAAAAGGATTCAGTTGGTTCAATTCACAATTCAGTGCAATAGCCATTCCTGCAACTTAAAAATGCACATAATGAATCAGGATATGCAAGGTTGTTTTAAATCCTACTAATCAGGCAATTTAGAAAAATCTCCAAACAATATGACTTTTCCCCTTTTTTGTTGTAAGTTACGTGTGTTTTTTTTAAAGTAACACTGGTTCACTGTGAAATACTGTGAAAGCTGCTTTCTTTTAGATAAAGATGCCAACAGTTTATGCCAATATAGGTATTTGCCATTCAAATATATGAAAGGATAATCTGAAAACAAGTAGTACAAAACACCTGGAAATGTTGAGGTCTGAAAGAACACCCACCCAATAAGCAGGTTTAGATACTACAGCTATCCAGGACACAGGCAAACAAGCCTTGGGCTTGAGCAATGTGACAGGTAGAATTAAACCCCCAGGATAAAATAAGGCTCTCAAAGGCTATATCCTCACTGAAAGGTAGACTAGATAAAAGCAGATGAAACAAAAACTCACAGGTCTCCACTTGGGTTGTAATTGAATAAAGTCTCCCTCAAAGACTCAGGCCTATTCTCACTTGCGTTTGGGATCAAATAAACACTAGTTACATATTTCAGGGAATTCTGAGCCAAGAAACTATAGCCAAGCCACCACTGCAGCCATCTGCCGGGCACAAGTACAGATCCTCCTGGAAAAGCCCCCATCTTTTCCCGAGATTCCCACTGAGGAGGTCTCACTGAATATAAATTCACAAAATGGCAGCTTACAAAAGCATACAAGGAAAGAAGCTATCCCGCTAAAGCATCTGGAAGTATTTCTCCTAAAAGAGAGAAAAGATGAGCTTTTGGTGTATTTTAAGGATGAAATCCTTACTCGGGTCTATGTCGTTGGCCAGGATCCTTGACGCCCCCCTCATCTTAGCAGCGATAGCTGTGGCTCCACATCCACTCCCAAGATCTAACACAGATTTTCCTCTGACAACATCGGGATGATCCAAAATATACCTAAATTAGAGTGGGAAAAGCATTATCTAAGCAGAGCTGGAAGGAGCTAAAAAGATTTGCAGCAGCCTTAAAGGCTCCTGGTTCAGGCAGGGCAGTACCTGGACAGGGCTTGGCCTCCAGGCCAGTAGATTGCCCAGTAAGGGTCACTGTGGGGCCAGAGCTCAGCTCTTTCCCACCAGAATCTGCATCTGGGGGTCAAAAGCCGCAGGTGGATCTCAGGAGTGAGGCTGCCATTGCTGGTGACTTCAGTGTTTTCCTCCAGGAAAGCTTTCATTTCAGGGTCCAGAAAGTTCCCGGGACCTCTCCAGGTAAACCGAGGAAGGCCACTGCTTCTCACAGCCTTTGTGGGAAACCGTGTAAACACTCTCAGACCCACGCACAAAGTCATCGCACCTTTTCCAGAACACAGGTTTTTTGTCAAAGCTGCTGTTGAGAAGAGCTGCTCCTCGTGAGGAAGAGTAAGATCTGGTTCCCAGCTTGATCTCAACAGGACTGCATCTCTAAAATCGGAAAGAACCTTGAAAACACCAAGGCTGGCTGACATTATCAAAATCTACTACCTAATAAGAAAACATTAGTCTCAGCTTTAGCAAATAATTCACAAGGCATCAGTGTAGGAAAATCCAATCTCTTAGTAAGATGCCTTTTCACAAGACACCGGTTTAATAATCTAGAACAGCAAAAAGAAAAAAAATAATCCTCCAGAACATGCCTGTTCGAAAAAACAAGGCATAATTTTAAAGCTCTTTCATACACTCAATGAACCATTTCCCTTATGCTTGGCAACTGTGAACACAATAAAAGTCCCAGAGTTCAGGAAGTTGATAATGGTGGGACGAATCAGTTAACTGGACAAACACAGTCCTTGTCATCGTGAAGCCTAGCAATGAATTGTGGGGGTTAACAAATTATAACTGTCATAGCATAAACTATCAGTGTAACCAAAGGGCTTTTCCCCAAAAAGAAACAAAACAAAACTGAGTTTAATAAAAGGGAATCAACTGTCAGCTCTCTATAAGTATTCTGATAATTAATTTTTATCGAGCTTGAGCTGAAAGGGCTTATTGTAATAGAAAACACGTTGATAATGTAGGATTAGCCTTCCCCAAAAAAGATCAGATAGACTTTCCCAAAATGTCCAGAGCAGCCTTTGCTGACACATGCCTAATAAGCAGCTGGTGCTAAGGTTACCAGAGGCTCCATGGACCTCAAGAGAAACTTACCATCACCTCAAAGAATGAAGACTACTGGGGTTTACCATCTCCTCCAGAAATAACTTTTTTGTCAGGGAAACCCACCTCAAGGCAGGACAAACATCTAGAGCATCTGGTTTTGTCATGAGTCACCCCCTTCTTGTTATATGAGAACCCCCTTGATGCCCCAGACCCCACTTATTCCTTAACTCAGGCTATAATCCCTCAATCTCATTTACTCTGGAATTTGCAGCCATGAAAATACAGCCATATGTTTTTCCATATGTATGTAATTAAATTTGTTCTTTTCTCCAGCTAATCTGTCTGATCTTAATTAGTTTGTTCAACCAGCCTGAGAACCCAAAGGGATAGGAGCAAATTGGAGTAAGGAGAGACAGCAGCTTAGATGCAAATCACACACTCAGTTCTCTGGGACCTCTGACCTGCTCTGCAAGGAATAGTCCTTTGTCAACCCAAGTCTTTGGAGTAGGGTCCCCAAACTCAAATGCCTAGAAGGGGCCAGGCTGGAGATAAATGAGATACAGGTTGGTTACAGGATGACAGAAGCGTGTCAAACCCGAGACTTTAACAGTCCAGAGGGGACAGCAGACGGCTGCCAAACCTTCCAGCTTCTCGACAATCCTGACACTGGCACAAACCCGCGCAGGCGGGACACCTGCCAGGCCACCACTGTGCGGCTGCTGGACCAACGTCCGCGGGGTCAGTGGTCGCAGGGCACGCCCCACTGGGCTCACTGTCGGGGGCTGCCCCGGGCCGCACGAGACTAGGGTTAGAGGACAGCCAAGCGGCTCTGCGGTGGCCTCAGGGCAGCGCGGGTTAAGGGGTGATTCGTGCGGACCATGCGGTGCAGGAGTGACAGGTGGGAGCGGACGGGCGGAGAGGAGCCCCGTGTGTGTGCTGGGGCAGGCGCGGCCTTCCTTTCTTCCTTACCTGGCTGTGCTAACACCGCCAGGAAAGGTAAAGCAGAGGGCACAGGTGCGGCTCGGCGCGCATTCTTGACAACAGCTTGCCCGGTCCGGCTTCCTGGCAGGCACTGAGCATGCGCGGGCATGGAGCATGCGCGATGGGACAGCGGCGGGGGGAGGGGGACAGGGGCAGACCGGAGGTGGGCGCGGAGCACGAGCGGAGCGGCCGAGGCTGGGCGGGGCGGGGCGGGACAGAGCTAGGGCAGGCAGAGAGCATGCGCAGAGTAGCGCGGTGGGTACGGAGCATGCGCACAGGGTCCGGCGCGCAGCAGCCGGACTGTGCTCTCTCCAAAATGCGACACCTGAGGGCGCCCCAGCGTCACTTGGAAAATGTGGGGACGTGCAGTCCTGATGGCTCACGCATCCGTTCTGGAGCCGTGCGCCACTCGCACTCTGGGCTCCGGACAGAACGGTGAGCCCAGTAGACGCCGTGTGAGCCTGTCATGGCTCCCCTCACTGCCGCTGGGTTTGCGCCTTCAGGGCCCACTCTCACCGCCCGACGGTTTTCACCTGCCTTCCAGTTGATACCAGCCAGACACCTGCGGGAAGGTTCCCACCTCCCACCTGACGGTTCCACCCGCCTTCCTGTTGACACCCGGCTGACACCCACCTGACGGGTCCCACCTGCGTGGTCATTTCCTCATGCGATGCAGCTCCTACATGCCTGAGGGTTCCCACCACCTGCCCGAAGGTTCCACCCGCCTGGCACCAGCCTGGCAGTTCCACCTGCCGCGGAAATGTCCCACTCGAAGCCCGCGAGCTGCCCGTCTGCAGCCCGTTTGCACTCAGACTGATCTGTGAGCACTGGCGCTCACGCTGCCCCGGTTCGCCCCTCGAGGTCCTGTTTCCAAACCCGCAGGTATCCCTGCCAGGCTGGACGTGCTATGCCAGTCCAGCCCCGGTGCGACCTGATACTTGCTTCTTAGCCGATGCTGTCTTTACTTCGGGCTGCTCAGCTGCACACCTGGCCTTCCTGGATATCTGCCCTAGACGTCCCCCATAAGCACTGTTCTCAAAGTTCAGAGTAGTCCAAATACAACCAGTGAATACCCAAAGCGGTTGCTAGTAAAAGTGCCCCATACACCCTTCCCCAAAAAAGACAGTTTACAAACATGAGCCCCAAACCAAAACGCCTGTGAGGCTCAGGATCTTTTGTTACAAAGTAGCCTCTATCCTGAGCAGGCAGTGTTTGGTTATAGAAGTTCCTTAAATGATGGCGAGTTTTGTTCAGTGGTTACTTCATGTCAGTCTAGGACAACAGTTTCAGTTTTGTGTGTGATTTCCAGAAGCATCAGTAAGAAATGACCCAAGTTAAGAGTCTCCCCAAAGAAGCTACTTTAAGCGTTGTCTGCACAACTAAACTGGTTTTGTCTGCTCCGGAAATTCTCATGGCCTATCTCCCGTTGCTTTTGATGTTAACCAAACTGGAAAAGGAGCTGTTGTGACTGTGGATAAAACTATTTATCAACTTACTAACTGCTTTTAAAAAATTAGTTGCTGGTACAAAGTTTTGTTTTCTCAACTTTTCTCATTTTCATGTACTCTCAGCTCTCCTACTACCAGTAAACTTAAATACGTGTTTAGGATCAGTTTAAAAATTGTTTCATCAAGCTTCTGTGTTATATCCCAGTCAATAGCAAGAACACCCTAGTCATGGACCAAGACACCAGAGAGGTCCTCTAGTACTGTGATTAAACCAACATTTGGCTCTGATATTGTTCACATTTCCTCAGGTGTGTCTCTCAGGCCATGTTAGGTACCTACGGACATGGCAGGTTGCAATGACCATTGGAGTTAGAGAGGTATCCACATTAGATGAAGACATTAGATGTCCCCACTGAGAATGTGCCAGAGGTAGACACTATTGGAGGAAGAAAGTGAACAAGATCTGGTGCCTACCTTCAAGGAGCTTTAACATGAATCTCTGGGGGCCTCCCTGGTGGCCTAGGGGTTAATTAAGTCTCAGCTCTACCACTGCTATGGCCTGAGTTCGATCCCCAGCCAGGGAGCTGACCCACATATGGCACAGCAGACCTCTCCTGTCTCTCCTGCTGCTCCCCTTAGTGTATTTCAGTCAGTCCACCTGTTCTGCTACCCACTCTGTCTCTGGTGAATCCTCTCACCCCCGCATCTCTGGCCTACACCCCAGTCCTTCCATGCAAAAAAAAGAAAAGAAAAGAACATGAATCTTAGATTTTAAATGTCCATGTTACAGAATAATTTCTGTAAAAGAGAAGAGGATAGTGGATCTACAGTCTAAGGGTGACCTTGATTCAGTTACTTAATCTCTCTGTGCTTCAGAGACCTTGTCTGTAAAACAAGATTACTGCATCATAGGGTTGTAGTGAGGATTGACTGAATCAGTGCATGTAAGCTTCCTACACAGGCTGGGGCCACAGAACATTTATAATAGAAATTAGTGTTGGCCCTCCTCGGTGGCACAGCGGTTGAGCACTGGGTTGCGAAGCTACCCGCAGCCTCTGCAGCGCTGGTTCGATCCCTGGCTGCTGGGCGAGGGTCCCACATGGCGTGCAGACCTCTCTTGCCGCCCGCTGCTCCCCTCAGCAGTGTACTTCATCAGTCTGCCTGTTCTGTTCCCTGCTCTGGCTCTAGTGAATTCTCTCACCCTCCCATGCTTCTGACTGTACCCAGTGCTTGTGTAAATAAATAAATAAATCTTAAAAAAAAAGAAATTAGTGTTACTACCCCAATATATATATATATCACTGCATGAGTCAAATCGACTAGAATTCTTTTAAAACTTAGCACAGGAAGACCTCACCTGTTCGTTATTTCAGGAGTTGGCAGCAGGGTTTTGGTTTTGTTTGGTTTCTTTTTGAGGCTGGTTTTTCCTTTCTTTTTTTCCCCAGTAAATCTTTACACAGAAACATTGTAATAGATGATACTTGCTTCCCAAGCCTTCAAACAAAAGAGTCCTTAAGCCATACTATCACTTAGGACTTGCATGTTTTGCAGTTTAAAAACAAATGTAACACCATTCTGTTGTGATAACAGAATATAACCAAAAGAGTGATTAAAAACATACTTGGCAACTTCTTACTTATCTTAAATTGAATTCACAATTGGTAACTTCTTACTTATCTTGGTACTAACAGAAAAACAGGGTAGATTTTTAAAAGGACGGAAAGGAATAATGGACAATAAAAAGAAACACCTGGTATTTGAAAGGTTTTAGAGGTTGGTAGTCTATTTTTTAGAAAATGCTATTTCAAACAAGACCTCTTTGGCTTTTTTTTTTCCAGCCTCTATTGGCAGTGGTTTTGCACTGAACATGGAATCAAAGACAGATGAAGAGAGAGTTTCCTTAAGAGATGAGTATATGTGTGGGAGGAAAAAACTGGAATGGAACCGACTGAGGTTTCAGAAATAAAGTGGGATAGACTCTCCACAAGGAAAGCGTCTAGTTCCAGCCACTGTGTGTTTCAAACCTGCACTTTCACGTGGGAAATAAACCTGTGTGCCCAGAAAGTGATGGACTGAGCCTCCCATACTGACAGTACCCACCGCATGCCATCTGCCTGACAGGTGATTTAATACCTTGTTCTGTGTTCTTTTGCCTTGATTGTAATAATGAGGGGACAAATGTAAAAATAAAGATAATATGTGGACTCCACGAGTAGACTATAATTGAAACAAAGGTGATTCCATAAGGCTATTGGTCCAATGTCCACTGGGCCAGCTGTGAAGGAAAGGAAGAACATTTTAAATTTTGTGCCAGCTATTAAGATATTTGAAAATGGTGAAATAAAATCAAGGGCTTGATTATCCATGTTGGTTATCAGGAAATGAATGCTCATATAACATGTGAGTTCGTGCAGAGTACACTTACCTATCTTTCTCTTGATTTCCAGAAACGTAGACAGGACAAGAAGGAAGGAGAGGCGGTGAGGTAGTTCTCCCGTTGGCCACCAGGGGACGCGTCAGCTCTTGACGCCCTGGTCCCGGGCGGTGTGTGGGGAGCGCCGTTCCAGCGGCGTAATAAGGAGGTAAAAACAACCTGCTGTTTAATGCACTCATTCAGAAGGGCCGTTTTCAAATTAGCGTTTGTAAATTAGTGTTTGTAAATTAGTGTTTGTGACCTAGAGTCTGCCAGAGAGTCAGGATGTTACTAGGTTGCTGCTATGCCAGGTTCAAATGCTTTTAAATGGCAGGGGGTGCTGGGAGTGGGAGGCAATCAACTCCTCCATGCTCACAGGAGCCTGTAAAAGTAATCCCGCCCTGACTGCAAGCTTTTATCTGCTGGAGTGGATAACCTTATCTCTTTGAACTCCGAAACACCAAATCTCAGTAAGAATCTGACCTTCAGTTTTTGTAAGTCTTGAAATTAGATAAACTGATACCCTTGCATCTATCTGAGTAAGTGCTATTTATGTCAAGACAGGAGTTAGAGTCTCGACTCAGTCCAACCCAAAGTCAAGAAGATGGGCGCCGGCCAGCCCCGCAGCTCCGGGGACTCACTCCCGGGCGCAAGGACTGAAGTGTTGCTGCCTCCTCGTCTCAGTGCTCTCCGGTATTTTGCCTTTCCCTTTTCGCCCATTTCCTCTCCGCCACTCCCTTTGTAAAGGCCTGAGCTACTTTAAACTATCCAGGCTGCAGGGAGAGCTCTGGCTCCTCACGTGCCATTCCTCTTGGCACAGTACAAAAGCCAGCCTGGGCAGGGCTCCAGGACTGAGCTCTACTGTCACACTCCCAAGAGATTGTCACACAAAGAACTATAAATTGCAAACAAAGAGGGCAGAGTGTTGTGTCGGAGGCACATGGTTTAATGGAAAGAGTGCTTGGGTCTGTGAGATTGTTTCACCCAGTGACAGCCCACCTCTAAAATGTGGGCTTTACTGCTTGATTTCTCTGTGGACAGTCTCCAAGTGTGGGGAGACACCTTCCTGCGGTGTCCCAGAGCACTTACAATAGGAATGTGGATTGTTTTGTCCTCGCTTACCACCCTGCATAGCCCACATGAGGTCCTTCCCAGGTTGAAACACTCCAGTGAAGAGGAAGGAGGAGCACACCATGGAAGACATGGGGGCTGTCCCAGGTGACAAGCCCTAAACACCAGTGACTTCATTCTATAAAGGTTTGTTTCTCCTTCATACTGATCCTCCTGGTTCAGGGGCTCCTTGGGGCTCTTGTTCCCAGAGCATCAAATTTGGGCATGAGGCTCCTTTGCTCCTTTGCTCATGTGCCTCCACCATCTTGGAACCCTTTCCAGTAGTTGGATGGAGTAGGGCCATTGGGAAGATGGGGAGAAGTGGTTCATGCAGGGGCATGCCTCAGGCTCTTCTGGGCTCAGAAGGAAATGGTTTGGTGACCACGTAGACTCCACTCTGCCAGTCGTTAACCATCATTTCTAATAAGGAACTTGATGTAAATATCAGTTTCATCTTTTCCAATTCAACCCCGCCTTCTTGGATTCTGTCAAATTTCTAACAAGGAGACATGAAATAAAACTCTTGCATTCTAGTGACTTTATCAAAAACATTTTGACCTCCATAAGCATTTGAATCTGTAAGATTCCACTTAAACTGGAAGAATATTCTAATTATAAACTATTCTCCTTGGTGGAAGAGTATGGCGCCTACCCCGCCCCCATCTCCCACCTTTAGACTTTGGCCCATTATAATTAAAACCTTTAACCACGTGTAGGGTCTTGCTTTTCCACAGTTGTGAAGACTTTTTCTCCCATAAATGGCAGAGCTTTAAATTACACTCATGTTTCCAAATTCTGACAGATAATACTCTTTGGGACTTAAGAATGAGAAATCAGCATCCCCAAGAATTCCAGAAACTGAAAGTTCTTCTTAAAATACTGCCAATATAAAAATAAAAAATACAAAAAAAATACTGCCAATATTGTGCATACTATTTGTCCATGATTATGGATATCTGGAACAAGTTTGTTTAATAACTGTAAAATGTTAAGTTAGGTAGTATTTACTGGGAACTGTCGCTGACAGTGAATGTTCAGCAACATACATGAGCATTAGCAGGTAGCATTTGAGTAAGGTGACACTCAGAGCTCTGGGCCCAATCATGCTGTGAATGGCAGGAGTTCACACGTGGGCCTTCTTGGGAAACACAAGTGAAAAAGTACGATCTGGGATCTATATATTTTTTAAAGATTTATTTATTTTATACAAGAACTGGGGTACAGGCCAGAGGCGGGGAAAGGTGAGAGATTTCACCAGAGACAGAGCAGGGAGCAGAATAGGCAGAAGGACCAAAAACACTGCTGAGGCAAGCAGCGGGCAAGTGTAATCTATATAGTAAGATTAAAAAATCTCATCTGAGTTCTATCTCCTGACATGTCTGAGAGGCTAAGAGGGTGGCAGACGCTGCTTTCTCCATCCCGAGAAACACAGTGAATATGGAAAGTGAGAAATATCTCAACATTCAATAGGGCTGCGTGGCAACCAGTATTTCCCTTTTATTCTTTGACTAGATACTTGAATGCCTACTGTGTGTAGTGCACTGCAGCTTTTTCCCCAGATTTAGGGTTACTTTTAGAAATTACAGTTTTTTCGAAGTAACATTGGCTTATGGTGCTGTGTATGATGGGGGATAGGCCACCCCTCCTCAGATACACATCACCACCACACACCCACCTCCAGGGCACCCTCATTTCTTTATCAAAGACCCATCCCCACTTTATCCCTACTTTTACCCTCCGTCCCCCTCCAGTAACCTCAATTCTCAGTCATATTTCTAGATTTTGTTTTGGTTAAGTTTTGTCTATCACTTTGTTTTGTTGTCTTTTTTTTTAAAGATTTATTTATTTATGCATACAAGAACTGGGGTACAGGCCAGAAGTGCGGGGCGGGGGGGGGTGAGAGGATTCACCAGAGACAGAGTGGGGAGCAGAACAGGTGGATCTACTGAAATACACTGCTGAGGGGAGCAGCGGGAGAGACAGGAGAGGTCTGCTGCGCCATGTGGGTAGCTCCCTGGCGGGTTGGGATGGAACTCGTGCTGCAGATATTGTCTTTATTCCACATATGAGTGAAATCACCTGGTATCTACTTTCTCCCTCTGGCTTATTTCCCTTGACGTAATCTCCTCCAGCTCCATCCATGTTGTCACAAATGGAAAGAGTTCGTTTCTTTTTTTTTGTTTTATAGCTTAGTATTCCATCGTGTATATACACCACATCGTCTTAATCCATTCATCTGCTACTGGGCACTCAGGTCGTTTCCATAACTTGGCTATTGCAAATAGTGCTGCAATGAACATAGGGGGCATGGGTCCTTTCAAATTGGTGCTTTTGCATTCTATGAATAAATACCAAGGAGTGGAAGTGCACATTTATTTTTAATATTTTCAGAGTATGGCAGCTTTTATTTCATTGTTCTTTACTTCCTCGGAGGGGGTGCTCTTACATTAGCAGAGAAGAGTAGCATTCTACCGTCATGACAGTTTGCCCAGATATTCATAAGCAGAGGCTGCAGAGGTAGTTTGTGTTGGCTGAGTGTCCTGTGGAAAGTGCTAATCACGTTCAAACACTTCCATTAATTGCATCTTAATAATTGATGCTAAGAGCGAATCCGTCTGCCTCCACAGAGAGGAAAGCACAGGCCACGAGTCGGGCAGGCATGCAGAGCACTTTCCACCCCTAAAGTGCTTTTGCCTGCTCGTCCTCTAGCCTAATGCTCAGTTTTCTGAAGGACAGGGCCAGCCTCCCTACACAGATGAAACCAAGATGGGGTTGTAAAATGACATCCAAGGGCATGTCTTATCTTTCACAGTTGGTAAATTGAACAGTATTTGGGAAAGCCTGCTTAGGGGTCAGAAATGTGGGCAGGAAGGCATTTGTGATGAAACAGCCCTCAGTGTAATTCTACCTACCTGTAAGACATTCTAGAACAGATCCATGTTGAGGTCTAAAACAGGTCCAGGACTGTGTTGAGGAATCCTCCCCGGCTTGTTCTGGCTTCGTGTAGCTTCAAGTTGGCAGTGCCCTTTACTGTGTGCCTGCTTCAACCCTCCCCTCCGCCCTCAACACAGGAACTAGGACCCTCCCATGGAAGACGTCCTCCCTATATCCAAAGGGAAGCAACCTTCTTACCATCAAGGACAGGAGACTGCAGAGAAAGAACTCTGCACACAATTCTCTGGCCTTGTGGACATGAGTCTTTCCTTCCTTTGCCCTCCCGTGCATCTTAGTTATGTTCCCATGGCTGCCCCTTTGGTCAATGTAGTGTGAAAGCTTTCAGGTGTCGTCACTCTGCTGGGTCTTCATTTCCTGAGAAAGGCTCAACTGTCACATAAAACTCCCACTAAATTTGTGTACTTTCCTCCAGTTAGTCTGTTTTGTGTCAATTTAGCTCTCAGGCTCAGCTGAAAACTTCTAAGAGGATAGAGGTAACACATTGCCTCCCCTCCAGGGATTAAGTGAGGCAGTCATGGATCTGAAGCACATTCAGACAGAAGAAATGTGCACTTGTCAATTTTTAAAATCATTATCTAAATACGTGCATGTTTATGAATGTAAATGCAAAAGCCAAAGACCCCAGATCTGAAAGGAAACCCCACAACTCCTGTTAGTAGTCGTTCTAGGAAAAGGGGGTGAGGTTTGTGGGGAGATGATTGGAGGCTGGTGCCGGCCTCCATTCACTCTGCAGAATTCTGAATTTTAGTTTTCTGCAGTGAGAACTTACCATCGATGACTGACTTGTGTATCTTCGAAGTGACAGATGGACACGAGGGCTCACTCACGTCACACGCTAACCACACCTGACATACCCATTATTTCATCAAGTGATGCCGCCTTGCATATTCTAAAATACCTCAGAAATATATGAGAGGGAGAAGTCAGCTCAAAATCGCCTTGGTTCTATGCTAAAAGATGGCTGCTGTGGGGATGGGGAGCAGCGCTGTAGTCCTGCATGGATGAGCAGGCCTGGTGTGGCCACTGCCTGTGTGCGAAGAGCAGGGTGTCCACCACACACCTCTGAGAAGCTTACATCCATGTGGCCAGAAAGCCGTCCTAG